TCTTATCCTCTTAACAATGTATTTGATAAATCGACAGGTTTTAATTGTTATGAAGTCTAACCCATCAATTTTCCTTTTGTGGATTATGGCTTTGGAGTCAAGTATAAAAACTGTTTATTTCCAGATTACAAAGTTTTTTCTCCTATATTTTATTTGAAAACTCCCAAGGTCAATATTTTGCCTTTTCCCTAAGATCCATTTTTAGTTTTTATCTAACTAAATTGTTATTTTGCTTATGGTTATCTGTTTGCTTCAGCTCCATTTGTTGAAAAGACCATCTTTCCTCCACTGAATTGCTTTTGCACTTCTGTCAAAAACTCAGTTGGACATATTTGTGGAAGGTCTGTGTGTCTATTCCTCCATCAATACCACACAATCATGGTTACTGTAGCCCTCCAGTAAGTTTTAGTCAGGTAGTCTGATCCTTCCTTACTTATTTTTTTGTGTGTCCAAAGGTGTTTTAGCTCTTCTAGCTCCTTTGCTTTTTCATATAAATTTTAGAATAAATTTGTCTACGAATTGCAGAAAGAAGTCTTGCTAGAATTTGGGTAGGAATTGTATTAAACCCAATATCAATATATCAATTTTGATATATTTTTAGAAGCATTGATATATTTACTACTGTCCATGAGCAGGGCATGTCTCTCCATTAATTTCTTTGATTCTTTTGTCATCATTTCTAGTTTTCATCATAGAAGTCCTGCACATGCTTTGTTAGATTACCTAAGTGTATAATTTTTTGAGTAATTGTAAATTGTATTGCATTTTAAATTTCAGTGTCTACAAAGTTATTGTGAATGTATAAAACTACAATCTTCTTAGGGGTTTTTGGTAGACTTCTTATGGTTTCCTTATAAATCATAATGTCATTTGCATTTAGGAGCAGTTTTATTTCTTCCTTTCTCATCTACAAGCTTTTTATTTCTCTCTCTTGCCTTATTGCACTGGCGAGGACTTCTAGCACTATGTTAAATAAGAGTGATAAGAGTAAACATTCTTGCTTTGCTCCCAATCTTAGGGGGAAAATATTCAGTCTTTTACCATTGAGTATAATGTTAGCTATAGTTTTTTGTAGATGTTAATCAAATTGAAGAAGATCCCTTTTATTCCCATATTTCTAAGAACTGTTATGAATTAGCTTTGAATTTTGTCAACTGCTTCTTGTGAATCAATTGATTTGATTATGTGATATTTTAGGGTGCTAATGTCAACTATTAGTGACATTAATACATTGATTTGCTAATATTGATCCAGCCTTGCCTTTCATAAATGCAGTTGGCTGTGGTATATGATTTGCTATGTTGCCACACTCTGTTGGTTGCAGGGCAGCAGAACTCTCCTGTCTGGCCAGTTGCACTTCTGACCCTTTCATCCACAGGTGTTGATTGTAAGCGTACACTCTAATAGGCATTTTCCACCTTGCTCATCTCCATGTTACCTTGATATCTCCAAATGTGCTATCACATTTGATAGTGAGAATATATCACACTATGTATTTGAGACTTATGTAGAGAATCTCACTGATTAGGTGATAGTAACCTAGCATCCATTGCTTGTTAGTCATTGAAGACACTTAAAATGAACAAAACTCTACTTCTTTTAAAGTTCTCACTGTATCTTTCCAAAGAAGTTATGTTGTAATCTAAAACAATATATTTAAAACACATATTTGTATTGACATTAACTGGTTCAGAAAGAGTTTTTATGGGTCCTGCACTAAATTTTTTTTGATGAATTTGCATATGAGAAATATGAAAAATAAACTTGAAGTTTGCTAAAAGGTCATAGACATCTAGATCTTTTAAAAATTCCATTTTTAACACTAAGGTCCAACACATAGAATCTAAGTTTGTAAAAATAAATTAAAGATTAAATTTGAATAAGGTCAGATATTTTGAATGGAAGGTGTATGGATCAGGCCAACACATTTTTTCAGTTGAGGATTAAATGATGCAACATGAATTGGTATGATTTGCTAACATCCCACTCTGACACCAATTATAGCACGTTCATCAAAGGCTTGTGGCAGAGATAACTGAAATAAAGCATTAATTCTGGCAGGTGGCGGACTGAGGAGTGGGGATTGGGAGATGGAGGGAAAAGGATACATGAATATTTAAAAATCTATGTTTCTCTCAGTTCTAGGGATTGAACCCAGGGCTTTGCCCTGCTGGGTAAGGCTCTACCTCTTGAGCTATGTCCTCAGCCTTTTGTTTCTGTTTTGTTTCTGAGATAGTTCTGCCTATTTGTGTGGGTGGGTCTCAAACTTGCAATTCTCCTGTCTCTGCCTCCCAAGTACCTGGGATTATAGGCATGTACCACCATGCCTTGTTAAGATGTTTAACTGAAAGATAATGATTGTATATATTTATGGGGCACATGAGTTATAGGTGCCCCATGTGGATGGGAATAGATGGTCTGAGGCTCAGAGGGCAGGCAGCTTGTATGGTAGGGGCTAGGGTACAGAGACAAACTGTAGTTCAGGTCCCAGCTCTGCCACTTATTTGTTACAGGACTTTGAACAAATTATCTGCCCTTTTAGAATATCAGAATCATATATAAAGCATGAGCACCGTAAAGACAGGGACCATGCTGGTGTTTACTCTTGTGTATCTAGTACTATGAAAGCCTGGCACTGTGACACCAAGAGCCATATCAATAAATGTTGAAGGAACATGTTAAGAAAGAACAAAAAGAGTAGCTCTTGATGTTTAGAAGCTGGCCTGGCACTCACAATTAGACTTAAATTATTAAATAATTTCACACAAGTTTATCCAAAATCATGATATATAAAGAGACAAAGCAAGTTCACTTCACAATTTCATCTAAGTCCAGGCAAAACCAAGTTTGCTATGCTACCCACAAAACACCAAACATTCCATCTCTGCCAATATGAGTGACCATTACTTCTTTGCCAATCACTGGTCTATCCTCTTGCCTTATTTCCTATAAATAAGAGTCATTAAGATATACAGTCATAGAATGCCCTGATTTTCTGACAGCATTCAATCTAGAGCAAGCCCCAGCTTCCTTAGACCCTCCCCTAAATTACCCAGTTAAAGCCCAAATCCTAAAATAGACTTGTTCTAATACCTTAGTTTCTTTTCTATTGCTGTCAAAAAACACTGGAGACTGGTTCATTTATTAAAATAGAGGTTTGTTTTGGCTTATGGCTCTGGAGGCTGGAAGGGTAGAAGCATCTGCTAAAGGCCTCATATTGTTCCATACTGTGGAACAGCAAGCAGGCACATGCCAAAAAGACAGAACAAGGGGGTGGCCTCATTTTAAAACAACCGCTCTTGCAATAACCAATCCAGTCCCAGAGAGTGAGAACTCAGTCCCTCAAGAGTTAACCTAGTCCTGGAAAAACAGAATTAATACTTTTGTGAGGGTTTCCACCATCTCTCAACACTGATATTGGGGACCAAATTTCAAAATGAGTTTTGGAGGGTGCAAACTGCATCCAAACCATAATATAATCTCTTTTGGAGACATCCTATGATTCCCATAGTGTGTGTTTTGTGATTACTTCAGTGTGTAACAAACACAATGCATAGCTGTGTTTTCAGTGGTGTTTGGCTGATAGCATAGTGTGAATGGAAAAAATGGGGGATGGGGTGGGGAGAGTCTCTTGAGAGTTGTCCTGGGTTTCAAATGGGTAATTTGAAATGTATCTGTTTTGTGGTAAGCAATGTGCTAAGTGCAGGTCATACTTAGCAGAACAAAATCCAAATTTTTCTCTAGGGATTTGAAACTGCAGGACATCTAGAGAAGAAAGTTTATGACTCAGTGCTGGGTGTGGCGGCACCGGCCTGTAATCTAAGCACTCTTGAAGCTAAGGCAGGAGAATTGCGAATTTGAGGCCAGCCTGTGCCACACAGCACAACTCTGTCTCAAAACAAACAAACAAACAAAAACAAAAGCAAAAGTTCAAAGCAGTATTATATAGGGATACATCTTCTATAAAAAGTGTTACAAGGAGCTTGCAATTCTTCTGACCCTTAGGGAAGGAGGGAATCAGAAGTGCAGAGGATGTGTGGCCAGCAGAATAATGGCTTATCAAAGATCTCCAAAGATATTCCTGAAATCTGTGAATACACTACCTAGTGTGGAAAGGGACTTCGCGGGCACTATTAAATTGCAGGATTTTGAGATGGTAGGATTATTCTGGATTATCTGGCTGAGAGGCAGTAAGGTTAGAGAAGGAGACAGGACAACAAAACGGTGTGGGACTGCAAGCCAGGGAATGTGGGCAGCCTTTAGACGCTGGAACAGGCAAAGGAGTGGATCCAGAAGGAATGCGGCCTGGCCAATCCATTTTAGACTTGTGACCACCAGAACCGTGAGATAATAAATTTGTTTTTAAGCCTACTAAATTTTTGATGATTGGTTAAACAGCCAATCTTTGATCTTTAAGGCAGAGTGTTTTGTATCCAAGAAGTAAGCTCCTAGCCGAGATAACCGAGAAGACTTTTGTACCAGGGGAAGTTCGGCTCAGAGTGAACTCTGACCAGGGAAGAGCTGAAAGAGACCACACCACGTCCCTCGTTCCTCGTTCGCTCTCCCTCTGACCTGCCTCTCTTTCCCTCCCTCCCCACGCCTCCATCGGCCGGCCCGCCCTCGCCCCGCCCCTCGCCCCCCCCCTGTCCTTCCCGCCCCCGCCCGCCCCTTTAACCCTTCTCTCAGCCCGCGGGATTTCGAGGCCTTCTATCGCGAGGTTTTCACTGATAGCTTGGGCGGTGGCGGCGGTAGCGGACGGAGAGGCTGGGGTTGGCGTTCCTGCCTGATTTCCGTAAAGTTAGTCTCGCTTGGAGGCGCTAAGTAGGTTCGAGGGGCCGGGACTCGGGCCGCTTTCGCGAGCGCTGAGCCTGACGAGGGAGCGGGGATCGGCTCCGGGTCAGGAAGGCCCGGCCACCCGCGCCACGTGTGCGCTGCGGTGGGGGCGGGGCGGGGGCGGGTGGGGGACCGCGGTGACGTTGCGGCCGGGACTTGGGCAGCGCGGGGTGGCGGGGACAGGGCGACCCGGTGTCTGCGGCCCGAGCCGACTTGGGCCAGATCAGCCGGGCCTCGCTTGGGTCGGGGCGCTGCAGGTGAAGCACGGAAGCCCTGGGTCCTGACGCTAAAGGTGTGACTTGCCATCTTGACTTGCCAAGTCAGGACTTGGCCCGACTTCTGTCCTCTCTGCTGCATTCAGAAGCAGAACCGAGATTCCTATAAAGAGGCTCCCAGACAGGCGATTTAAATCTCACCATTTGCTTTTCTTTTCTTTTTCTAAAAATTAAAGTTGTACGGATCAATGGAATACTTGACGGAACCCACTGACCGCAGCCCTGGGCACATGTGAGTGTGACCTTCTTCCCCATCCCCCTTTAAATTTAAGATCTTAAAGTGAGTCTGAAACTTAACTGTCTTAAATGGGGAAAATAATTGGATGGTGGTCGGGGGCAGAGGTTCTTTTGTCGTAAAGGGAAAAAATGAAAGTCTTATTTCCGTAGAAAATCGAATTCATTTTTAGTTGTTTGATCTGGTAAATACTTTCAGAAGGTTAAAATACTCCCTGTGCATCCTTGTACATCACTGGCACTGCCCAGTATGTAGCCATTAGACACAGGTGGCTATTTGAATTTACATTTAATTGGGATAAAATTAAATACTCTGTAGCTCCGTCATACTAGCCCAGTTTCAAGTGCTCAGTGCCATTGGAAGATCATCAGACTTTTCTTTTGGACAACATTGCTCTATGTCAGTAGTTCACAAACTTTCTCTGCTTCCAGTATACCTAAGATTTAGATACTCACCATTTATACAGAATAATTAGACATAGAATCACATCCTGTCCTGTTTAAAAAAAAAAAACTTTCAGCAAATGTATTTTGGCTGTATATTACTGTGTAATTACTAATAGAAATGATTTAGTTATCAGTTTGTGTTTTTTTCCTTCCTTCTTGTGATATTGTATTCCCTGCTTACCCTCAGAGGTCTTCTGTAGCCTCAGTAAGTGAACTAAGTTATTAGTGCAACACTGGAGATAGTTCTCAGAACAAATGAGGGGTCTACTAGACTAGTCAAATGCATTTTAAAGACTTAGCATTTAGAGATGAAGTGGTTGAATTATAGAGAGACAAACTAATCTTACATATTCTTGAAATAGAAGTTTCTCTTTGGTTTTTACCATTGATGGATGTATTATTTGCCTTGGTAATCTCTTCTGTCTTAGTTTCCCAGTTTTAAAAAAGAGATAAGAAATATCAATGGTGTCAAATTTTCCCTAAGTTTTCAGTTGTGAAATTTATTATAAGTGTATAATTGGTAAAAAATCAAAACAAATGCTGTGTCTGCACAGAAAATATCTGGGAGGATTAGATATGGTTGTCTATGTGGGTGGTGTTGGTTGGGTTCAGTAAAGAGAGTTAACATTTTTTATTGTATTTAAATATTTGAAATTCAGACTAGTGCAAATTTTGTATTTGCTAATAATATATCTCCAGTTGTTTTACTGTTAACATAGTTTGTCAATACTTGTTAATAATAGAAAAATTTGTGCTGGCTATTTGCATGTGAATTTAAATTAAATAAAATTGAAAGTTGAGTTGCACGAGTCACTGTCAGCAGTCCATTTGCCACATTTGTATCCTAGTGTGAAGTTCTTTGCACAGTGCTGACTTGCTAGACCCTTAGGACATCTTCCCTATTTTAAGCATTTTCAGAATTGTAATCATCTTTGGTTTTTTTGCTCTAGTATTTCAGTGTTATTCTTTACTGCGTCTTTGGATTGCTTTGCTTCTATGTAAGTTTTTTTCTAATAAAGGGCAGAAATATAGCCTAACTTGAAGGCTTTTGTTAGGTTTTTTTTTAAAATTTAATTTAACTGGTATGTTATAAAATCTAATGAGAAAAATGTGTTCTTTATTTAAGCTTGTGCTGTGAGTGTGGAGTTCCGATTAGTCCAAATCCTGCCAATATTTGTGTAGCCTGTTTGCGAAGTAAGGTAGACATCAGCCAAGGTATCCCGAAACAGGTTTCCATTTCTTTCTGCAAACAATGTCAAAGGTACAGTGCTTTACTATTTTACCCTACTTAAAGTTGGGATTTATATAGAGAGCCACTGGGATGTGCTGAAATTACAGTATGACACAGAAGAAAGCACGTGAATTTGAGATTTAATTTTTACTTGGGTTGATATTGGCAAGGATTTTAGAATTTGCAATTTCATAGTGTACTTTTCTAGTTTGTCCTACTAATCTGGTAAAGATAATAAATGTAAAGGTAGTTGAACCTGTTTCTTCTATTGTTAAGGAATTTAGCAGGCTTGATGTACATAGCTGATAGACAGGAGTTGGTGTTTGCAAGGGTGAGAGCAGATTTAAGGATGGACAAACTACTGTTATTACCATGAAAATTTTTTCTTTGCTTATTAGAAGTTATTTTTGATAAAAAGCAGCTTATGTTTTAAGTAATTTAGTAATGTGTTTTAAAAACTTAACATTCACAAATTACTAAAATGGCGAGTTGATAAAAAAAAGTTCAGTGATATCTAGAATGGTCTGATTTGAAGGCCAAAGGCTTATTCTGAAAGTGGTATTTCTTTCCCTTTTTATTTCCTTTAGTTGCTGTAAGCAACTTAAATGTTTCAGGTCATTGAGTAACATAAAATTGGTCAGTGAAGTAAGATTGTATACCATTATTTTCCTAATGGGTTTGGACTCTGGTGCTTTAGGTTGTGTTTGGGAAGGTGGTTCATGGACCTCTTGGAGAAACTGAAAACTTACCTTCTTGGAAGAATATTTCCATGTACATATATATATACAGACCCATGCCAATTTGTATACTGTTTTAGGGAGTGTGGTTTGCAAGCTTGGCAAGTGTGAGGCTTAATCTATTATAATCATGAGCTATTCTTACCTAAGGTACTGGACAGAGAATCAGAAGACCTAGTTTGTCTTGAATTAATCACAAACTAGCTTTTTGTTACTCTTAATCACTTATTCTCTGGGCCTCAGTTTTTTTGTTAGAATGAGTGGATTTTATAAATGGTATAAATATTATGGATTAATATTGAATGGCATACTTCAAGAGTATGCTTGTAAGCAAAGAGGACCCTGTGCAACATTTTTCATTGACCCTTGAAAATGAAAATCAAGTGTTTCACCATTTAATAAGTATGCCAAAAAGGCATTCACATAAAACCTTATTATGTATTCCACATACATGTATTGAGCACCTAATGTGTGCCAGGCACTGTACTAAGTCCTTAGAAGACTGGGCTAGGAAATTCAAAGCATATAAAGGATTTAAATTTTAATTTAGAGGGTTTTACCTAAGATTTTAAAACTTGAGTTTTGCAGTTTAAAATTTGAAGAGGGACTTGACTGTAGATGAAGAGTCTGAACTATTGCTGATATATAATGTGATAAGGTACTGATTTACCTCTTTTGTAAGAAATGAGCAATTTTAATTTAAGCATTTTAGAAGTACAGAATAAAACATTTTGATGCCATTTTGAAATGTTTCTTTTCTGCTTTTCGGAGCAAAGCTTCAAGGAAGCTGGGTCATCCTTACTGGAATTTTTATTGATAATTAGAATAATAAAATTACTTTAATAGATTGTATCAGATAGGCTTTCTTGAAATTTTACCTTTTAACTGAAGGTACTGATTTCATTGAAAGTTTTCTGTAACTCTTTTTCAGAGCAACTGTGGGTGTTATTCCTCATTGATAATTACTATTTGCATATTGAGGTGGAAATTCCTGTTTTTCTTGTGGGATGTTTGATTCCAGTGTTATCTTCTCCTCAGATATTTTCAACCACCAGGAACTTGGGTACAGTGTGCTTTAGAATCCAGGGAACTTCTTGCTTTGTGTTTGAAGAAAATCAAAGCCCCTCTGAGTAAGGTAGGTCAAACAGTTAAAATCATTGTTTATGTGTATTCTTCTATTACAGCTCTTATTTTCAGAAAATCTTTTTATGTGTGGGTTTTTCAAAAGTAACTATTAAAGTTGGGCCTGGTGATACATGACTGTAACCGCAGCACTTGAGAAGGAGGCTGAGGCAGGAGGATCACAAATTTGAGGCTATCCTGGGCTGTATAGTGAGTTCTAGGCCAGCCAGAGATTCATAGGGAGAACCTGTCTGAAAAACCCAGAACAACAGAAAAGTATTAAATGCTACTGTTGTTACTAATAGCACCCTGCTGCAAATGTTGTTTTCATTTTTAGTTTTGTGCACACACATACATGAATATGTATTTATGGAAAATGGAACTATCTTTTTTGCTTTGGAAGACTTCAGTCAACTCTTCGTTATTTATCGAGAACCTCATATATGTAATTTTTTTCTGTAGTTTTTATATAAAAGTATCACTACACATAATTTAGGAGATTATAGTGTTAGGTTTATGCTGTTTAGTTACTTTTATTTTCATTTCAATTAAATCAACACATGCATGCCTCTACAAAAGCAAATATGGTTTGTCTAGAGTCCTGTACTTGACATATACTTTCATTATTTTGTGTTAGGTTGAACTGTATGACTTCTATGTATGTTTTTAATGGAAATGGACTTTTTCTGTTTGGAGTCCATTTTCTGATTCTTCATACTATGATAAAATTTCATGAATAGTACTTTGAGTTTTCTCCCTTACTTTCCTCTTTACCTTGGAATTTCTGTTATTCAAATATTGGCCCTCTTGGCTTAAAACTTCGTTTTTATTTTTTTCTTAACATATTTAAAAAATCTTTTTGTCTTTTCCCGCTGCATTCTTGGATATTTCCTTTATCTTTATCTTTCTATCTTTCTTTTTGTTCATTTGGTTTTTTCCAGCAGTAAGATTTTTTAAATTCCAGAGTCTTTCACGTTCTTGAATTTTTTCTGAGGATTTTGATAGAAGTTGAGTATTCCTTATCCAAAATGTTTAGAAAAAGAAGTGTTTCAGATTTCTAGTTTTTGTCAGATTTTGGGATATTTGCAAGTACGTAATGAGCTATCTTAAGGATGGCACCCAAATCTAAACAAAAAATTCATTAGTTTCATACATATCTTATACACATGGCCTGAAGTAATTCTGGGCAATATTTAAAATAGTTCTGTGCATAAAACAAAGTTTCATGGTATAGAATTTTCTACTTGTAGTATTATGTCAGTGCTGTAAAAATTTAGAATTTGGGGCACATTGGGTTTCAGATTTTCAGATCGGGGTGTTCAACCAGTTGATAGGATTTTGTTTTTTTTCTAAAGATTCCTTTTCTGTGATTTATCTGTCATTTCCTCCACACCCCCCCCCCCCGCCCCGCCCTAAACTGAACTGGTTCAAACCTGAACTGGTTTTACAGTTTTATACTTCAGGCTTTTATCGAATGTCTGGTGAATCTTAATAATTCATTAATTCATTCAGATTTATTTCTGTGCCAACTGCTTTTGGTGTTGGAGATAAGGCAGGGAATATGAAATAATCACTGACTTGGAGAGTTTATATTCTAATCTGGGAGTATATTCTAATTTGGGGTCGGTGACAGGTAGAGTAGGCAATTATTAAAATAGGCATCTTATATGGCATAAAGAAGGTGTAAATTTGCTGCAGAAAAAAGCTTGGAAGGAGAAAGAAAATGCTCAGGGAAGAGTTATAACTTAAAATAAGGTGTTTAGGGGAGGCTCCACTGAGAATGTGCCATTTGAGTAAATAGTAAAGATGTTACAGCAGGGAATTATGCAGGAATCTAGTGGAAGAGCATCATGGGTAAAATAAAAGAAGTGTAGAGACCAGAGGCAAGAACACACCTGTGTGGTTAGAATGGAGTGATGAAAGGAAGAGTGGTTATGGGTGAAGTCAAAGATATTATGGGAAGTCAGAGGATGTCTGACCTTGTAGGCTTTTGCAAGGACTGTTTTTCACTGAGCGTAAGACTGAAAACAGATAGTGAGATGATGTGATTTGTTAGTACCTGAAGCTGTGGTGAGGAGGGTAAAGGTAGAAGCATGCACTTAAGAAAGAAGCCATAGTAATTCTGAGAGATGTGATTTTGCATCAGATGTGAAGGTGGTAAGAAATGGATAGGCGATGGCTCTATTTTGAAGGGAGGCAGTAGCATTTATTGATGCTGCTGGATATGTGTGCTAAGAGGCAGAAGAGTTAAGGATGACTTCACTGTTCTTGACCTAAGTAATCAGAAGGAGGGAGTTGCCATCAGTGAGGTAAGAAAGGCTTAAGGAAAAGCAAGTTGGGGGTGGAGGAGATAAGAGTTCATTTGTAACTGATGAATAGGCAGGGGAGTGGTCTAGACTAGAAATAATGAATTTGGAATATAAACTGTATATAAAGCCATGAATTGGATGAGATTACCTAGGGAGTTTAGATAGAGAAAGGAAGAAACTGGAAGATTGAATCCCAGAGTCCTTTAATGATAAAAGTTTGAGAAGATGAGAAGGAACCAGCAAAGGGGACTGAAAGGAGCTGCTAGGGAAGTAGGAGGAAAATTAGGTGAGTATGATATCCTAGAAGGCAAGAAAACTGTTTTAAGGAGTTACCGGCTGATTTGCACCTAATGGACGTGATGAGTCAAGTAGTGAGAACGGACAGGTCAGTCTTACTCAGCGCATTTGGGGTTGCTTGTCACTCGCTGTCCCTGGCATGGCTTTTGACTACTAGGATTTGCTTTCCTTTTGGGCTCTCCAGTGTGCTACATCTACACTACCTAGTCTAGTTCTCACCAGATAGTACTTGATAAAATTATAATCTGCTTGTTCATATCTTCCAAATCTGTTACCCACAGCCTAGATTTCTCCATAGATCTCCAGACCAGCATGTGTTATACTGTCTACTGAACAAATTTACTCACATGTCTCACAGATACCCTCTTAAACTTAATGTCTGATCTAAATGCAGTTATCTCTGTATTAAATTTGTTGTTTACTTGTATCACAAAAAGTATACCACCTTAGTTGCCCATGCTGGATTCTTGAGTATCATTCTTGAGTATTTTCTTCCTCTTTCCCATATCCATTTATTAAGTTGTAGAGATTTTGTTTCCTCAATAACTCTTGAATCTTCTGTTACTTCTAACTCCTCAGTTCATGTTGCCTGTATCTTCTACTTAAAGTATTACAGCAGCCTCCATTCTTGTTTTTCCAGTCCCCTTTGTCCCACTACATCCTTTCCAGCCATTTGTATTATATTAAATTCATCCCAGTCAGCCTACTGCTCTTGGCCTCTGCATATAATACAGGTTTACCAGTGAGTTATGAATGCATATCAGTATTCCTTCAATGCATGAAAATTCCTCTAATGAAGGTCCATTCTTAAAAAAAAAATGCCACAGACTTAATGTAGCAATAATGACCCAAGTGGAAACTTTTGTTCATGAGATTTTTGCTAGATAATGAGGTCACCAGTTCTTTGATGTCTTTTTTAAAATTAAGTACAAATTCTATTTAAAGAGCAGTACACTTTTTTAGAGCAAATGATTTTTTCCTATGCAAATACTTTAATTCTTACTTGAATTGTATCAGCTGCGTTAGTGTAGCCGTTGGATTGTCCTTTTATTTGCTGCTATTGTTGCCATAACACTGGTAATAAATCTTTTTTTTACAGTGATGGTGGTAATGTTAATCACAGATTCCTTAAAGCATGTTATGAAGTGTTTATTTATTGGTTATTCTTTCAAGTTTTTTTTCCCCTCAGGTGAACTTACGCTTCTTTTTGCTTATATTTTATTGAAGGTACGGCTTGTAGATGCAGGCTTTGTTTGGACTGAACCCCATTCTAAGAGACTTAAAGTTAAGCTGACTATTCAGAAAGAGGTAAGCTGTACATTTTTTTTAAGCATGGTTAAAGTGCAGGTAATGAGAATGGGGTCTATGACTTAAACAGCTTCAAAGGAAAAATGCACTGTTAATTTTAGTCCTCTGTTTTATCATGTGTGCAAATGATTGTCACTAGTAAGAGCAGCTGTTGCTCCTCATTACTGGGAACATTAGTTATTTTTATTAACTGGATGTTGGGGTGCATGCCTTGGGAGGCTTAGGCAAGGGAGTTATGAGTTGGAGGTCAGCCTTGGCTTCGTAGCAAGGTATAGACCAGTCCAGCGTCCAGCAGCCCCTCCCCCCCAATATTTTTTAAAATTAGGAAAAAGACCAAAGTAAAAACACAGGCAGTGATTCTTAAACTTAGCTTATCATAGTGACTCACAGTAGTTGAATCCAGAGACTGCATGTGTAAAGTCCAGGAATCTAGATATTTTTTCTTTTCCTTTGTTTTTTTTTCAGTTCTGGAAATTAAACACAAGGCCTTGTACATGTTAGGCAAGCACTCTAACTTAGTTATGCCTCCAGCCCCTGCATGTATTTAAAAGCCTTCTATGTATTTTTTGATCGACTGTGTTTGGACATCATTAAATTAGGGAATTCTTTCTTTTGTTTTTTGGTGGTACTGGGGTTTGAACTCAGGACCTGTGTCTGGTGATTTGAGCCTTGCCTCCACCCCTTTTTTGCCTTTACTTATTTTTCAGATAGTGCCTCATGCTTTTTACTCTGGTCTGGCATTGAACCACAATCCTCCTGGAGATCTCTCTACTGAGTAGTTGGGATTACAGAAATGCACCACCATGCCTAGCCAGGAATATTTTCCTTTTGTAGATTCTTATTTTTTTTCTTCTAAAGGGGAATTCCATGTGTGTACACACACATGCACATATGTACACACATGCATAAAATTTTCCAAACAATATTATACAACTATTTTAACAAAAGGTAAATTTGAATGTTAATGTAATAAATCTTAGGAATTAAACCTGTACACCTTTCTTGAAATAGTATAACTTATTTTTATGGCTTTCAGTTTGGCTAATTGATATCCTCAGTGCAGTCATAGAAAAAAGTTTTAATTATTAAGGCATTTTCTGTTAAGAAAAGCATTGATTATTAAGCAGAGCTGTTAAGAGTGAAAGAGTTATTTTCTTCCCCAGGTGATGAATGGCGCTATCCTTCAGCAAGTATTTGTGGTGGATTATGTTGTTCAGTCCCAAATGTGTGGAGATTGCCATAGAGTGGAAGCTAAGGATTTCTGGAAGGCTGTGATTCAAGTCAGGCAGAAGGTACTGAGAAAAAGATGATGAGTGAGTCTAACATCGTGTATTTCATTTTTGTCAATTATAAATAACTAGTAAAAACTTCTCTTTTCCTTTCTTTCCAAATCTATTCTGTACTGGGAGTCCAGGCCCCTGGAGCATTCAACTTCGGAAGTAGATTAATTTTTTGCATTTTAGATAATCTTGAAAGGTTGTTTGTGTTTGAAAAATCAGTTTTCTCTGTCTGTATGTGTATACCATATTTATAAATGGCTTTTTTGAGCACTTAATTTATTTATCCAATAATGTGTTTATATTTAGGCTTTGCACAAAAAGACATTCTACTATCTGGAACAGTTGATTCTGAAATATGGAATGCATCAGAATACACTTCGTATCAAAGAGATTCATGGTGAGTTCAAATTTGAAAGGATTTGAGGTGATGTCAACATTTTACCTCAACTTGCCTAAATAATCTTAATGTTGCTGATAATATCTGGATTAGTTCTATCCAAAAGAATTTTTTTTAGGAAGAAAATCTCTAGTTTTCTATCTGCACTGTCTAATATAGAAGTCTGGACCTTGTGGCTATTGAGTAATATTTGAAATGTAGCTGATAAAATTGCGAAACTGAATTTTGGACTTTCTTTTATTTTAAGCTTATACTAAATTTACACATGGCTAGTGGCCACTCTGTTGGATAGCACATATCTAAAACTACTCTTTTTTCCTTGTTCTCCCTCTGTCTCAGTTTAAGACATTTATTAAGCATCTGGCTTTGATGCCATTCTGGGTTCATAAAGATGAATTAGTACTCTCTCATCTCATTAGTAGAAGAGTGAAGAAGTAACTATCAGTGTAGTGTAAAGTGTTGTGATAGAGAACTCATCAGAACTAGTTTTATGCAGGGGAGGAATCAGTTCTAATTAGAAAAGGATAAAATATTTTTTGAGATCTGCAAGTTCTTAATGTGTATTATATGCTGAGATGTATTTGTGATGGATACATTAATTCAGAAGCCAAAACTCAGTAATAATAAGCAGTGATATATAAGCATAAGTAGTTTTCTTTTTAAGATGGAATTTTAAAACTTTTACATAATTTCATAATGTCCTGTAAGTTCTGTCTCAGCACCTACTGTTATTTATTTATTTGCTTATTTCTTTTGTGATACTGAGGATTAAACCCAGGGCCTTGTACATTCTAGGCAAGCACTGTACCACTACGTTACATTCCTCCTTGCTCACAGCACTTCCTATTTTGATGCAGTATACTTGCTCATATTTAGTTCTAAAATTAATAATACAGACATTCTGTAGCAAATTCAGTTGTCTTACTAAATATAGTATTGGATGAAGTTTACTACTGCTAGATGTTGTTTTCCTAGTCTCTAAGGTACAGGTTTAGAGATAGCTATACTTGAAGGAATGACCAAATGCTTGAGTTGTATTCTTATTTTATAACCATGAGTCCACTGTTACTCATATGTCATTTATTTATCTCCTTTGGGCTGAGAAAAGTATTTAAAGGCCCTTTAAGTGGGGAAAAAAGTTAATACCATTTATGTCATCAGGAGAAAATCTTTTAAGCTTTGCATCAGATCTGAGTGTATTGCCAGTAGACTCATGACTAATAGTCTAAACTGGCGAAACAGCTTAGTGAGTACTTACTGTGGATAAGGTGCCTTACTGGATAGCCACCAGATAGAAATACACCTTTGTTCTGAGTAAATCTTTTGAATATAGAGACTCAAATACTGTAGCTAAGGAAGCAGAACACTATTATGATAGTTTATCACCATGACTAGAGTATCCTCATACAGATGTTTTGGTACCAAGAGTTGAATATATTTTGTAATTGCTTTCAAAGCCAATAGCGTTACAGATTTAGCAACCCTTCTTCCATTCAGAGTAATTAATGTTTGTTTTTTTTTTCTCTACTGCTTTTTGGTTTGATTTAAATGAAACTTTTTATTATTTGTTTGTTGTAACTTTATTTTAAAAATAATAATCATAAAAATTTAAATGTGGAAGTGTATATATAAAGGACCTCCACTTTACCTTTATCAGCCTTTGTGCCCAGAGGTAAAACAAGATACTCTATGTAAATTGTGGTAGTAGTGATGATTTCCCTCACATGGGATCATTCTGTAATGTTCTGTAACTTTGATGTCTCATTTAACATTCCGAAGTCTTTCCATTAGATTGCATGCAGTTCTGTTTCATTATTTTTAATTGCTATCTGGTATTCATTAATCAGTGCACATTTTGATTTATTTCTTTATGAATGGGCTTAGAGGTTATTCCTTTTTTGTGGCTACAAACAGCACTGTAATAAATACCTTTGTATGTATGTAGTGTTTTTTGGGATTGATTTGAAGATCTGAAATTACCGGACAAGAGTATGCAAAAGTCAAATCTTGATATATACTGTTAGATTGTCCCCATAATAGTGCCAGTGTACCTTTCCATCACCGGTAAGAGTGCCAATGCTGGATAAGACTGATTTTTGCTGTTCTAGTTGACAAAATAATGTTATCTTGTTTAATTTTGCATTTTCTTTATTAATGAGGGGTAACATTTTTTCATACGTATGTTAGACATTTTGTTTCTAATGTGAATCATCTATTCTTACTCTTCATGTATCTACTTTTTTCTAATTTATTTTGTTCGTGTTACTCAGGATATCAGTCTCATTCTCTATACTTTTTGGCAGTGTCTTTTTTTTAATTGTTCTTTAGTGATATTTAGCTATAGTTTATGGTATTTGTATCTTATAATTTCCAAGATTATTTTTAAAAAAGTAGAACTTTATTTTATATTTGAATTTTTAATGTGGTAGAATTTTTTTTTTCCCCAGAAGATTAACTCATTGTCTCAGTACCTATCTAGTAGATATTTTGTCCTTTCCCACTGACACAAAATCTCTTTTCTTATCTAGGTACTATTTACTTCTACACTTTATTTTGTCTCATTGCTTCTAACATACGAGTTTTAATTAGTTGCCCTCTTGGGGGATTTTTTGTGAAATTTTCTTGACTGATAGTAAAAGCATGGATTTGGAACCAAATTCTATTGGTTTGAAAACTATTCCACCAAGTTTTTACCATATGACCTGGAGAATATTACTTAACTTTTCTGAACCTCAGTTTTCCTATCAGTAAAATGAAGAGGATAATAAAAGCACCTGCCTCAGGAATATTGCGAGGATTAAATGGGCTATTCCCAGTAAAGCATTTAGAACCTGACTTGCACATAATTATGTTTATTCAGTACTTGGACTATATTTCAGGGACATTTCATTGTTCTTCATAAAGATTTGAATATCTCTTGTTGGAATTTGGCTAAATAATTTACACTGCTGTTACGTGTGGATAGCCGCTCTTTTCATTACCTTTCTTTTTTTTGAGACAGAGTGTCACTGGGTATCCAATCTGGCCTCTAATTCATGATCCTCCTGCCTCAGCCTTCCTGTTGTTGGGATTACAGGCGTGTGACACTCCTGGTTTTTTCTTCACATTTTATTTATTTATTTTTTCAGTGTTTTTTTTTTTTTTTCCTTTATTCATTTATTCATTTGTGCATACATTGTTGGGACTACTTCTCCCTGTCCCCCACCCCTACCCTCTCCCCTCCTTTCCTCCCTCGCTTCCAGGCAGAACCTGTTCTACCCTTATCACTAATTTTGTTGAAGAGAAGACATAAGCTATAATAAGGAAGACAAAGTGTTTTTGCTAGCTGAGATGAGGATAGCTATACAGAGAGAGTCCTAGCATTGCTTCCATGCACAAGTGTATTACAACCCGGATTGATTCATTTCTACCAGGCCTCTTCACTATTTCCTGGTCACCTTCCCATATTGACCTTTGTCATTTTAAAGTTACTGTATTAACTCCTCTGCAGTTAGGACATCAAACACTTTCAAAGTTTTGGGTTTCCTACCTATCCCCATTCCTCCTGTATGTGCTGTCCCCTTAGCAGGTGACCCAAGTCCAGCAACATTGGTGTATTTGCCCTAGATCTAAAGTCCACATATGAGGGAGAACATAGGATTTTTGGTCTTCTGAGCCTGGCAAACCTTGCACAAGATGATGTTCTCCAGTTCCACCCATTTACTTGCGAATAATAAGATTTCATTCTTCTTCATGGCTGCATAAAATTCCATTGTGTATACATACCACATTTTCTTGATCCATTCATTAAATGGTGGGGCATTTGGTTGTTTCCATAACTTGACTATTGTGAATGGCGCTGCAGTAAACATGGGTGTGCAGGTGCCTTTGAAGTAACCTGTGTTGCATTCCTTTGGGTATATCCCTAGAAGTGGGATTGCTGGATCATATGCTAGATCTATGTTTAGTTTTTTATTGTTTTCCAGAGTGGTTGCACTAGTTTGCATTCCCACCAGCAGTGTACAACAGTTCCTTTTTCCCCACATCCTTGTCAACACCTGTTGGTGTTTTTGATGATGGCTAGTCTAACAGAGGTGAGGTGGAATCTTAGTGTGGTTTTGAATTGCATTTCCTTTATGGCTAGAGATGGTGAGCATTTATCATGTGTTTTTTGGCCATGTGAATTTCTTCTTTTGAAAAAGTTCTGTTTAGATTTGTTACCCATTTCTCTATTGGTTCATTGATTTTGGGGGAGTTCAGTTACTTTTTGAGCTCCCTGTATATTGTGGTTATCAGTCCTTTGTCTGATGTATAGCTGGCAAATATTTTCTCCCACTCTGTGGGTGGTCTCTTCAGTTTAGAGACCATTTCTTTTGTTGTGCAGAAGCTTTTTAATTTTATAAAGTCCCATTTGTCCATCCTTTCTCTTAGTAGCTGAGTTGCTGGGGTTCTATTGAGGAAGTCCTTGCTTATACATATTGCTTCCAGAGTACTCTTTGCTCTTTCCTTTACTAAGTTCAGAGTTTCGGGTCTGATAGTAAGGTCATTGATCCATTTTGAGCTGATCCTAGTACAGGTTGATAAACATGGGTCTACTTTCTTTTTTGCAGGCAGATAACCACTTTTCCCAGCAACATTTGCTGAAGAGGCTGTCTTTTCTCCATCTTATGTTTTTGGTGCCTTTGTCAAAAATAAGGTGGACACAGCTGTGTGGATTCATATCCGGGTCCTCTATTCCGTTCCACTGGTCTTCATATCTGTTTTTGTGTCAGTACCATGATGTTTTTATTGCTATTGCTTTGTAATATAGTTTGAAGTTGGGTATTGTGATACCTCCAGCATTGCTCTTTTTGCTGAGTATTGCCTTGGCTATTCGTGATCTCTTGTGTTTCCAAATGAATTTTAGGATAGATTTTTTTTTTCAGTCTCTGTGATGAATGTCATTGGGCTTTTGATGGGAATTGCATTAAAAATGTAGATTGCTTTTGGTACTATAGCCATTTTTACTGTGTTGATTTCTA